TCTGAACTGGTTACTAATCCACATTTTTAAAAGTCAGTGTCCAGACTGGCACTGAACCCATTTTGTTTTGTGTGTTTTTGATATTAATAGAGGTAGAGCATCTTTAAATTTTTAAGCATTAATTAGAAACAGGTACAGGGAGGAGGATCGACCCTGCAGATCCTCTCATTTCTCTCTTGACCTTCAGTAACACTTTTTTGCTCATCATTGGCTTTATTGTTTAAATTTTTACAGAAATATATCAGTGGTAAACAAATTGTTACCATTTAAATGTTTAATAATTTACATCCGTATGTTAAACTTACCTAGACTTGAGTTCTTAGTAATGGCAAACAATAAATTTTCTAGGAAGACTCTGACTCTGAGTTGGCTGCAACAATGATGCAGAATGGCCACTGTTTCCACAACTCACTGTTTCTATACTCACATAGGCACTGTAATATCATGTGAGGTGATGGCTTATACAATTTGCTGTTCAAACAGCCTGTTTGGGGTTATGTATAGTAGCCATTTTATACTATCAAAACAATTACATTTTACTTCCAAGCCTGCCCTAAGGCTGGTAGGCTTATAAAAATCTCCTCTGCTGAGTTTCTTCTTTGATCTGGGACCAGAGTAACACTGATAATGTACTTAAAAATGTTATTACTTTACTAAGCGACATTTCCACAGAAAGCAGTAATAAAAAATAAGGACATTGATTTCTTCTGAATTTCTAATTTTTCATATGTTTGTAATATTTACTTTGCACTAGTTTAGAAGGAAAAAATAAACTACACAGAAAGAAAAATGCTAAAATTTGAGGGGGAAATTTTCTGTGAGCAAAGTTTGTGTTGTGCCCAAAACATGTAACTATTATTCTGAAACCTGCCAGAAGACTAGAGTGGAACACGAAATGTAACCCAGCAAAACTGGGGAAGTCTCCACATTCTAATTGTAGAAAAAGGTAATTGAATTTTACCAACATGAGTTGCACTTTTATTTGTAGGCAAGCAAAAGATTCTCAGTGCATTTTTAAATAATGATGTATTTGCAACATGCTTTGCTTTAATAAGATAGAAATTGGGAAGTTTGGATTTTTAAAAGTTATTTTTACTTACAAATGTTTGACTGGTCTTCATTCAGTGTGTGGGTGTAAAGTGCCATCAAGTTGCAGCCAAGTTATGGTGACCCCATAGGGGTTTTCAAGGCACTAACAGAGGTGGTTTGCCATTGCTTTTCCCTGCACAGCAAGCTGGAATTTCTTGGTGGTCTCCCATCCCTATACTAACCAGGGCCGACCCTCCTTAGCTTCTGAGATCTTACAAGATTGGGCTAGTCTGGGCTAGCCAGGTCAGGGCCTTCATCCTGTAGGGTGTTCTTTTAAAAATACATATATTTCTGGAGGAGCCTGCCCATGCTTCAGTGCTTTGGTAAACAACACATGGTGGCTCAGTGCTATCATGGTCAAGCTAAATGTAATGCTTGGAACTTCATGAATAGAGTTCCCAGCATTTTTTCAGGAATGTGTGGCCCTGATTCAGATCTGGACCAAGGCACAAGGGTTTTTAAAGACTTCTCATCCCTCACTGTCTTCCTGGTACAAAATGGCTCCATGGAACCATCCTATCTAGAGGGGAGGAAGACACTCTGATACACTTGGATTCCTCTTCCCACAATCCCTGGAGGCAGGAAATTGGTTGCACTTTCCATTTTCAGAGGAGGAAGAGCCAACCCTCTGTCTTTTTCCTGCCTCTGCCTGAGAGAGCAGTGGGTTTAGAGAGCTCTTGAAAATTTCCTTTAAGGAGCTCCTTTGGTTGCACTTTGTTTTTCTTTCCATCGGTTTGCCTTTCTATGTGCCTTTCCCTTTGTTTAAAAAACAAACTAACTTTGTTCTTCTGGCCTCGTCTCCCCCTCTTGCCTGCTGCTTCAATCATGGCGATGTCTGTAGCTTAGGTTTCTGATCATGGGACCCAAGGGAGAGTTGGGGGAGGTGACCCCCAGGCAGCAGAGCAGGAAATCCCTGCAAACCCATTTGCCCAGCCATCCTGCTGTGGCAGAGCTCCTGAAGACAGCCACAGGCTGTGAATTGCCTGGCTTGGATCATGAAGAAGCAGGCTGGATTTTTTGTGCCAAAACTGTGCCCTCTACTGATCAGCCAGGATGGCCTGTATCAGCCCATCAGGCCTGCTCAATGCAGCGTCTCCAGTCATGGCTTCCTAATCAACCTTCAGAAGAGCCAACTAACACCTGCCCAAGTCATCATGCATTTGGGGTCAATGATAGATTTAACCCAGGAAAAAAAAGTGTTTCTTCCACTAGACAGAGCAGAGAAGATCATTCAGACCGTGAAACAGCTTCTCTTTGTGAAATCAATGGACTTGATGATCCTAGCATGATTCCAGCTATCCCAGGGACCTGGACCCATCAAGAAGCTTCCCTGAGCATGAGTCTTTTGGAACTGCATGCAATTTGTCTGGCACTTCTTCACTTCCAAGACCATGTGTTTGAACTGAACATGCAGACCGGAGAAGCTCCACTTCTGGAATTTACAACAGTTCTTGGAAGGCTTTTGTCAGATGGTACAAGAGGAAGCACCTGCACCCAGACACCCTGGATCTTCCTCAGGTATTGCCCTTCCTACAGGATGGAGTCTCTCGGGGTCTAAGAGCAAGCACTCTCCGTTGCTGAGCACTTTACTTTCATTAGCTACCGGTACACTACTCTCCAGTCACCCAATGGTGAAGGGATTTCTGAAGGGAGTAACTTTGTCTCAGCCCCCTACAGTGCACAGGTTTCCCTCTGGGAGAGTTCATGTTGTTCTTCAGGCTCTAACCAGTCCTCCATTTGAACCTCTGAGGGTGGTTTCCCTGAAGTTCCTTGCCCTGACGGTACTTTTCCTGGTAGCTGTACATCAGCAAGATGGGTCTCAGAGATAGGTGCTCTTTCCATCAGAAAGGGTTTGTGCATCTTCCATAAGGACATGGTGGTTCTGCGCACAGATCCCACATGCATTCCCAAGGTCAACAACCTTTCCACAGCTCATAGAAGATATATTTACTGTCCTCCTGCCCGAAGATATCTCATCCTAGGGAGAAGAATTGGCACTCACTTGACCTTTGCAGAGCACTTCATATTTATATCAGTAGGACCAAGCTATTTAGGAAGTTGGATTCCCTTTGTGTGGCTTTTCATCCAGCAGTCTAGGGGAAAAGGGTTTCTAAGGCTACACTAAGCAGGTGGCTAAATGAATGCATCTCCTTGGCATATGAATCTCATAGCCTTCAAGTCCCAGAGGAGATCACAGCTCATTCAACAAGTGCTTTTATGTCAGCATTCCCTTTTTGTGGCTTTTCATCCAGCAGTCAAGGGGAAAAGGGTTTCTAAGGCTACACTAAGCAGGTGACTAAATGAGTGCATCTCCTTGGCATATGAATCTCATAGCCTTCAAGTCCCAGAGGAGATCACAGCTCATTCAACAAGTGCTTTTATGTCAGCATTCCCTTTTTGTGGCTTTTCATCCAGCAGTCAAGGGGAAAAGGGTTTCTAAGGCTACACTAAGCAGGTGACTAAATGAGTGCATCTCCTTGGCATATGAATCTCATAGCCTTCAAGTCCCAGAGGAGATCACAGCTCATTCAACAAGTGCTTTTATGTCAGCATTCAACACAGATGCATCTGTTGCAGATATCTGCAAGGCCATTACCTGGGCCTTGGTGTCAGCTACAAGATGGACTCTATCACTGTGGTTAATGCAGCATTTGGGTGGAGAGTCCTACAGCAAGTGGTCTAGTCCTACTGTTATCTCTATGCTTGGCAGTCACTTTTCCCTCCCTGGATCAGATGAGCTTTGTAACATCCCAAGCGTATCAGAGTGTCCTCCTCCCCTCAAGAGAGAATGGAACATTGGACTTACTGTGAAGGTTCCTTCTTCTCAAGAGCGAGGAGGACACTCTGGACCCACCCTAGTTGGAGGGCCTCTGTTCAACCTATTGCACTTTCTAAAGGGTGCCTGTCTGCTGATCTCCATGTTCATTGTTCTTTCACTGTTCTAACAGTTTATCTTTACCTGTATGCGTTGTTTCATAGAGTTCTGTAAGCCATGTTGTCTGTTTGGCACACATTGTGGACTGTGAAAGTCTCCAGACTGGGGCTGGGCTTCTCCCCTCCCCCCCCAAGATGGAAAGAGTAATCAATTCCCTGCCTCCGGGGACTGTGGGAAGAGGAACACGAGCATATCAGAGTGTCCTCCTTGCCCTTGAGAAGAAGGAACCTTCTCGTTAAGTCCAATGTTCCATTTTCTCCACTGGGTACTCATATCAGTATGTTTCCATAACAGGACAAATTGTAGCTCCATGGGTAGAGAAAATGGGGTGGCACTTCACTCCTTTCGTTATGCTATGGTCCAGTCTGAATCAGGCCCACACAGTCTTGTTTATATAAAGAAAAGAAACAGTGGGGAGGATCAATTCACAGAAATCCTAGCATCTGGAGACTTCCCTATCTGGGGACTGCCCCCCTCAGCAGAGAAAAGTCCGGGCACTGTTCAATCAGTTTGTAGCTCCTTCACTTTCAATCCTGTCCTGTTGGTGCAATCCTGTGGTGCTCCAAAGTAAGTATGAATGATGGAACCACCTGCAGAAAGTGTTTTCCCCCAACTATTTGTTGCATGGGAATGAGGGCAAGGGTTGGGTGGGAAAGATATATGTATTGCTACCTTTTCTTGTTGGAGCTATTCCCTTTCCCCATGCCAGTGCTGTATGTCATATTCAGAATGGTCCCCTGACCTTCAACAGCAGCCTTTACAGGGAGAGGGGAAAGTGAGGAAAAATTGCTTTTGTAAACACACTACATTGAAGGAGCTTGGTTCCAATGTGGTATGAAGGAGGTAGTTTATGCATAGATTCCAACTGAAGGAAGAATGTCAGTTTTATTAGAACTCCCTAAACTGATTGTTAGAAATACTTATCTTGTTTTATGTCACATTCTCTACAAAATGGTTCTTTGTTCTTCTTTTCTAGGCATGTTTTCCACAAAACCTGTGTGGATCCATGGCTCAGTGAACACTGTACCTGTCCTATGTGTAAACTGAACATTTTGAAAGCCCTGGGAATTGTGGTAAGTTGAGAGTTATTTATTCAGTTAGGAATGCAGAGGTTTTGATTTCCAACATTATCATAAAATAGTAAACTCACAAATCAGTAGAAGGACAGGAAGTCTAGGATTTGTTATCTTTCTTGCCTGCTTATATAGCTGTTGCTTGCATGAAATTGTGTGCACTCACAACTCTGTATTCTTTAAGTAAGGCCATGAAGTATGAACCTTCCACTTAGCTCAAGATATAAATTGAGATTAAAAGAACCTGTGATTTATTCAAAGTAATCTTCCTTTCTTGTACTTTGTTGGCCTCTAGTCTATCTCATGGCAATGGACCAACGCCAAAACAAGTTGGGCTAAGTAATGTCATGACATCGGTGATTTCATATATTGTATGATCAAGCAAGTTTGTTCCATGAAAATGTCTTTTCAAAGTTAAACCTATTTCATAATAGAACCATCTGGCTTTCTAGATGGAGATTTTCTGGGTCTGTTCAGGTATTACATTCTCGACCCACTGTTGGCCTCAGATGAACGCATGCCTCTCCCTCTCATTGATGATGAAAGAAATAACAAATGAGGCTGTACCACATTTATTTGCCTTTAGTAACTCCTTGACCAGGCAATCTGTCCCTGAAAGAATGGAGGACAGAATTCAAATAATCAAAATATGACCCAGCTCACTTATTACTTTCTCCCTGTGATGGGGGAGAGGGATGCATATGTAAGGGAGGCTAATGCATTTTCAGGATTAAGCTATTAACACTAAAGTAAAACAAGTGGGTCCTAACCCAGAAGCCCTGTCAGTTGAGCTTGATAATGATAATCTTGGAAACAAATGGTTGTACCAAGCCTATAGACGGAAGATTTGCTTTGAATAATGATTTAGTACCCAGTAAGTATTTGCCTGCGCACCACTGGGCACTACAGATTATTTCTAAATTAATCTTATTTGCTTTCTATTCTATAATAGAGCCATGGAAGAACAATACTACCCTCTTAAATATATGTTACAGCTGCTATTAAGTAAATCATATCATGATCTGCCATCATACTTTGCTTTCTTCATCATGGAATAGCTAACCTTTTCGAAATAAATACAGATGGTATATAGAAAACTGACTGTTATCATAAGCTGTAACAAGTTTGTGTTAACAAATGATGAATGAAGATGGGCAGATATGTTGTGCTTCATTTAGCATATTATGGGCAAAATATGCCCAAAATTGAAATCTTTTCTTTATCAATGGCAGTGAAGTAGCTGGGTAATAAGATAATCCTCGCTTCATAAATCTCCATTGAATCTTTTAGGAAGTTAGATTTAGAGAATGTTGACATTTTCATACAACCTGAGTGCTATCAGAAAAGCATATTATGATTACTTAAAGGATTAAACAATCTTTTGGAAGAGTTGCTGCCTCCCCTACCCACCCCCGTTGCCACTAACATGTTCCTGTATACTATATGGCCTCACTGACCACTTCTTATAGCATGTGTAGCCCATGATAGATTTTTATGGATACCTCTGGCATTTTGCTGTGGTTACTGAAGTGCACATAACTTTGCCAGCAACCTGTGAAACAAGATATCTTAAATTACAATATCATAATTTCAGACAAATGTTCCATGTGCTGACAATATGGCCTTTGACATGGAAAGGCTCACCAGAGGCCAGCTAGGCAACAGGAGATCAGTACTTGGTGAACTTAGCAGTGACAGCACACTCAGTCTGGAGCCCCTGCGTACTTCTGGCATATCACAGTTTCCACAGGATGGGGAATTGACCCCAAGAACCGGAGAGATCAACATTGCTGTAACTAGTAAGTGATGATTGGTTTTAATTTTGAGCATCATAGGATTCTCTTGCTTTAGATCTATTCACCACTAACTGCATGCATGCACTTAACAAACATTTTACGGTGTGTGTGTTTTGAAGGGTGACATACAACATTCATTTTTAATAAGGCTGGATCAGAACAGGGTTAACATTATTTGAACTTGAAAACAGCTGTAGCACAATCTGAATGTTTAAAGCTATTTCCTACCAATTAACAAAATTAATCCTGCAAGGCAATTCTTTAAGTGGCTGGCAATTTGAGATGGTTAAAGTGTTTGACAGCTTTTCCCATTCGTGTATTGTGTTTGTAAACAACAATGGCTGGATCCAGGAATTCAGGAAACTAATCCAAGTATATTTGCTGTCTGTCTTTTGAGATTGATGCAAACAGTTCATAGTGTGAATACTGTTAGAAACATCCAGTATGATTGTTTACAGAATTCGACTGTATGCTTTATTTATTTTTCCCCGAAAGAGAGTATGTGTGTATGTTGGGGCTGTCCTTCAGAAACAGAGCATTGCATTACATTCTAAATACTGTAAATATTGATTTCACTTTAGACTCAATCACCAAATCCATACCCCAGTTGAAAGATAGGGTTCTAACTTGGATTAATCAAACTGTATAACTTCCTCAATGTTGTTATGCCTCCTTTCTCCTCGTTCAATATTGTTTGTTCTGTCACACATTCAGTAGCTACATGCACAAATTCTACCCATACACAACCTGTATTTCTTCCAGTAATTTCTTCTACAAGTCCTTTCAGTTAAAGAGATGTATATGGTCTCAGCCTGCTCTAGGCAAGTTATTCTTCAGCATTCTGTAATTAGTCCCACTGGATGTACAGACTGTTACTTGCTGCCTGACTTTAGAAGCTGCATAATGGCTCTGTTTAAGATGGCTCTATTTGGTGGTCCCTAAATCTTTCGCATTTGGTGGGCTGTTGTGACAATCTACTGCCTGAGGTCTTGATAGGTTTTATTGTGATACATTGTGTTTTGTATATCACCTTGAGTCTCATCTGAAAAAGGAAGTCTATAAATAGTCCAGTTAACAAATGAATAATTGTTTCAGCTTAAGCACACCACCTTTACTGAATGTTTGGGTGATAATGTAGCGTGCAGCACGTAGCCCTTCCTTTACAAATTGTTTGGTGCTGTTGTAAGTAATGCCTTCCATTACTAGAAATGACTGAGTGTACCTATTCTTGCAGGGATAGATGGGTGGGAATACCCAAAGGGAAGACCTGTTGTTGTTCTTATCCTGACTTTCTGCCTAATCAGAAACACCAATGCAGCTAACAATTAAAAACAAAACATTATAAAAGCATACCATAAAAACCAATTACAATCAAAAATAGAATATACATATAAAGTCCACAAACAACAATTAAAATATAAAGTAGGAAGAAGGGCTCATTGGTGGAGCACCAGATGAAACAAGTCTCCACTTGCTGGCAGAAGACAATGATAGAAGGGGGACAAATATACCTGGGGAAGGAGTTCCATAGTTTTGTCACCATGACCAAGAAGTTGCCACCTTTCTAACCTCAGAAAGCAGGGGCACCCAAAGCAGGACCTCTGAAGATGGCAATAGTTTTTGGGTAGGTTTGCTCACAAGACTCCACAGCTTAGAGGGAACATAAGCCAATAGGAATTTAATGATCCGCACCAGTGCCTTGAATTGGGCCCAAATTCAGATTGGGAGCCAGTGTAGATGGGCCAAGACTGGAGTGATATGGTCTGTGTAATCCAATCCAGTCAGCATCCTGGCTGCATCATTGTGTGCCAGTTAAGTTTCCAAACACTTTTCAAGGGCAGTCCCACATACAGCACATTGCTATAATCTACAACATATTCTCTGCCCAGGATGGGCCTCAGCTGGCTAACTAGTCAAAGCTGGTAAAAGATACTTCTGGTTACCACTGTCCCCTGCTTATCCAGCAATAGGCATGGGTCTAGCAGCACCCCCAGCATAGAAATCCATTTGGTTCATTAACCTGCATCTACTCCAAAACTGCCTCCAGGCATTGGTTCAGGTCGTGTAATAAGCATTATTAATCTGTAGTTTGAGAAGCTACTACATGATTTAGGACTGAAAGTGGCTTTTCCCCTGACATTTTCCATACCTGTCTCCAGTACTGTAAATACCTGTGAGGAGAAGTTACTGGCAACAGTGTAAGATGTAGGAGGCTGTGGTTAGAAGTGGAGGGTCTGGAAAGGTGGGTGAAACAGATTTCATAGAAATACTTGGGCATGATCAAGTAGCAGCTTCCGTTGGGGAGACTGTTGCTAAGGGAGAAATTACAGCTTTGTGGCCTCTAACCACACCTCCATTACTTCTGACCCACCACGCCTAATATAGCTCACCCACCATATGGCCTTCTAGGTGTTTTATAATCTTCTTATTTTTCCAGTCCTACGCAGGCAGGAAAAAGAAGGTTTATCAAGTCTGTGGTGGCCACCATACTAATCTGGCCTGTGAAACTTGCTCAACTTGATGAGTCATAAATTGTACAGGCCTGCTTTTAATTATGAGAAGACATTTTTACATAAAGGTGTTAGACTTAAGAGCTCTGCTGTTTATCATAATGAAAAGATGTAAGTTTTGGGAGGTACAGTTTTACTAGCATACTTAATGGCTTCCAAAATGGATGGTTGCATTTCAGAGTAAAATCTGGCTTGGTTGGTTTTACAAACCCCTAGAAGTTGGGTTTCTTGTCCTGAGTGCTGCATGCCTGGCTTTCTGACTTTTTCCAATCATACATCTAGCTTTAAAATACGACAACTTATTTAATGTTTCCTCCAGTCCTGTAGTAAGATGTCTCTGTCATCTGAGAATGTACAGTGACCAATATTCTTATTAATGGGTATTTATTGTCCACGTTTGGTAGTGTAATCATCATTGTGCTAGTGGAAGTGTATTTTTTTAATTTGCAATAGTGTTGCATGAAGAAAGTCTCATTGTATCCAAACTATATATATTTTGCTTGCTGAAGGTATAGTACTGAGACTAGCAAGGTTGAAAATAACAGAAGCGAAAGACATTATTAAGCACACAGAGGAGAGCTACTGAAACAACAGTAGCAAAACAGAGTAACACAGGGTGGCAATGCAGAAGTAGAACCTCAAGGGCACATAATTATTGTAAACATCAAAGTAATAATTTATTAAAGGCATTTATACAATAGATTATTTAAGATACATTTATGCATGGTTTGATTGAATCATGCAATTAGTGATACAAATCACACTAGGATTGTGCTTCTTCACTGCAACCGCTTGTGTAATTATCCTTGTGTGAATGGAACAGTGCTAAGCTTCAGCTGAATGTTGAACAAGTTTTTTGGATACACACCATTAATTCCTTACATGTCCCCAGAATGTCTGTAAGTAGTGAATTGGCAACTCATGTCTTTTGACTAGACATATCAGATTTTATTATATTTATATCCTGCCTTTCTTCTTTCATGGAACTCATGGTAGTATACATACTGTACTGGGGTCTTCCATCCAGACACATAACTGCTTAGTTTCAGCAAAGCTGTCTGCCATATATTCCTACCCTGGGACCTTTCACCACTTGGCCAATCTTAAAAGTAGGCTAAATCTTGAAATCTTTAAAGTGGTTGTTGCCCAAATGTCAGTGAGTGAGAGAGATACATTCCTTGACTTCTTTAACAGCAGACACATTAGCTTGGCACCAGTTGGATATTTAAAAGTGCAGATCCTAGTAAAAGGGAGAAATGAAAATAACATTTCAAGAGCCTTTCAGGTAGTTGTATTCAGAATGCATTGCGTAAACTTTGGTAACACAAAAAGCTATACCTTAACGTGCTGATGCTTTCTTGAAAATTTATGAAGCAAATCATATTTCTCATAAAGTTATCTGTCTTTTTATGTTATTTATTTTTAAGTAAAATTACACTTCTGTTCGTGTATTAGTGTAGACTCTACACTGCATTGTGCTTTTAAAAAGACTGAAATACTTCTTTAAAGATAAAGGAAAGCAAACCATGAAGTGGGGTCCTATGAGTATATTCTGCTGACGGCAGCACTTTCTTCCAGTGCAAGGAACCTTCCAGTGGTGCTAGAGCCTGTTGCTACTGTTAGCAGATCACAACTGAGAGATCCAATCTTGTATGTATGTGTGTGAGTGTATGCTTTCATGTAGCTTTAAAAACAGGGCCTCATTTGGAGATGATCACTCTTGACATTCTTTAAATGCTGCTACAATATCTGCTTCCACTTTCCTTGCTTTGCATTTTGCACTAATCACGTATCACTAACTTCTGGGTTCTGCTGGGAGGTGTTGTTATATCATGTCTATTTTTCTCACTTTTCCATTGAACTTCTGTATTTGGCCTTCTTCATTCAGCACCTTCTATGGCTAACCTTCTTCTGCTTCCCTGTGATATTTCTCTTCCTGGTGCCTCTCATGGCTAGAATTGTTAACCTGCCTCGGGTCTTTGAAGGCAATGTTACCATCGGTTTGACATAAGCCTTCTTCCACGAGTGATTTCCTCCCTTTCCTTTGTCAACAGAAGAATGGTTTATTATTGCCAGCTTTGGCCTCCTGAGTGCCCTTACACTCTGCTACATGATCATCAAAGCCACAGCTAGCTTAAATGCTAACGAGTAAGTAAATGTTGAGGTATCTGTGTGCATATAAACACACTTTAGGTTGGTGCAAGTTTTAAAGAGAGCAATTCAAAGTAAAAGCAAGAATTATAAGAACTGAAAGGGAGCTTTGCAGAATGAATCCCAGTTTCTCTCACTGTTTTGCTACTACCAACAGAAACTGACTAATTTTGTCTTAGGTCAGATTTTTCAGACAGATCAAATGCATTAATATTTGAATTCAACTTCTGGGATACTTTTTGATCTCTTTTTTATTATCGTATTTTAACTAGGCTTATATAAAACATCTCAACTGCAAATAGTGTACATAGTAACAATTTATACAGGACAGGTATAGAAGGACAAGCCATGGTTCAGATACTTCATATATTGATGAATAGATGTTGTTTATGCTCACAACAGCAGAAGAAATGATCAAGGAACACAATTTATAATGAGGATATAAGAAAAGTTATGGAAGATGCAAGAAATTAGTTAGGAGACACTGGAAGGTAAAACTTCAAATGTCACCTGTATCCTGTAAGAAGGGATGCATGGCAATGCACCTGGGAGTCATTTAGTATTTAATATTAACCGGAATTTATGCACATATATATGCATAGGAGTAGGCCATGGTTAGTCAGCTGCAAAAGGGGTGGATGAATTGCACTGTTGGGTCCTCCTTACACAGAGATTTGTGTGCATGAGCTCTGGTTCCCACAGCCCAGATTGAGACATGAATCCAAGGCTCACTTGCATACCCTGCCACAGGTAGGGTCATGGTGAAATTGGGAAACCCTTTTGGGGACCTCTGGAAATGGCAAAGAGGCAGCTGATGCCAAGGATTCATAGGGAACTTTTAAATGGAACACATTTAGGAGTATCTGCTAAATTAAGTTTAGGTAAAGGAACACGATAGATTTTATGGTCCAAGTTTGAATATATCTGTTTTTATGTAAGCCGCCTTGAGCTGGCTTTGGCTGGGAGGGCGGGATAGAAGTTCAATAAAATAAATAAATAAATAATATATTTTCTTAACTTTAATTCTCTGACACTGTTTACTGTCAGTTTCACAATCTTGCCCTATTTCTTTTCATTAATAGCCCTTGCAGTATAGCATCTTGCTATTTGGCAAAAGTCCCAACAGTTGGTGAACTACAGGAATGTGGAGTGTTGCCAGCTATTTTGCAACCACTTTCACCTTGTATTACCAAACAAGAATGAAAAAGTAGAAGAGCATTCTAAATGTATTTTCTGAGAACTGCTTTTAGCCGAAGAGGAATTTGGGGCTTAGGGAGGAGATCAGGAATCTCAGGCTACATTATCACCTATTTAAAGAAGCAGTGGTCACCCTGTTTCTGGAATTGCCACAGTAGCTAATGTAGCATTTCTATGGATTGGTTTTATATTTCCATAAAAAGACAATAATTTATTTTACTGCTTATTTCCTGTTGCTGATAAGAGCAGCTTTTTTAAAATGAGAATTTTTATTACAGATTTTAAGTAGCGTTGTACAAGGAATAATTATTGTAACTTGCCTTAACACTGTGAAGACAGCTCCTTGGGGAGGCAGATGTCAGTAGCTATGGAACAGCAAGAACTACCAAAGTTATAATAATTTGGGGAAAGAACTGCAGAATAATTAAATGTATATTGTAGTTTGGGTAACCAGGGAATCTTTCTCAAACCTCTATATCTAAAAATAAACATAGTGCTTATATCTGTAATGGCTACACTGTGGCATTGGTAAGTGGAAAGGCCTGTGGACATTCCCTTAACCATGCTGGAACAGGATGTAGAAGTTCCATTGCATTTCCTGTTCTACAAGAATATTGCATCCATTATACAGGGTTCACCCCACCTTGGATCTCTTGGGTGAGGGACAAGCAAAGATGTAATAATGATGCAGAGCAACAGCATTTATTTAAGATGTGGCAATAATGCAGAGCAAGAAGAAGTATGGGGGATCTGTGTGTTTTGTTCCTGCATAGCAAAGCAGCATCTGAAGCTGCTCAGAGTTAAACTTTGGCAAAATACAGATATTCTTAATTGAGTGTTGGAGCGGAGAGAACTGAAATTCATATTTTGTTCCTTGTTTTTTACAAGTCTCTTCCATAAAATTTCGGGGTTTTGTTTGTTTTTTACAACAGAAGTAGGTTTAAATGTCCATTCCCGTTCACTGAAATAATTTTTATGGAGTGAACAGTTTTCAGTATTTGGCTCAAAATAATCAGCACTGCAATCCTAAATTCCCTTTCCTGAGACTAATTATAGACCTGAGTAGTATTCTGAGTAAACTGGCTTAGGGTTGCTCTCTAATTGTACACAATTTCTTTGAACAGTAGTAATAAAATATTACTGATGTTCTTTTCTTTTACTTCTCTGCAGGGCTGAGTGGTATTGAAGAAACACTTTGACAAATTGCCTTGGATAGCAAACCACCTATTTTTATGCTTCATTTATTGTTCATTTTATAACACAAGCATATGTTTAGTACCTTCTATTTTCATAATTTGCTAATGCCAAAGCTTTGTATTAAGGACAAAAATCAATAAAACTTTAGTTATAAAAACCTTAGTCTGAGATTGAATTTTATTTTTATGCAACACCTCAACAGTGAGTTTTTATACTCCAGTCAGGCTGATCCTATTCAATATATGTATGTGGATATGATCTAGAACTTCCATTTCTCTTCTGTACACTTGGTTAATATGGCAGCTCTATAAACTGATGCTCATTCATAATGACGCTAGTACATAGATTAGCAATTGTAATATCAGGTATTTTCAGTGTCCTATTTTGTAGTTATGTACACAAATTTAGCATGTTGTATTGGAGGGGGATTGTTTATTTCTTAGGTTTGAATAAGATGCAAGATAAAAATTTTGACTCCCCAAAAAAGCCAATCAAGTTGTTATTTTTTTATTAGAAATATAATGTCATTTTTGTTTGGTTTTGTGTTGTGCTTTCACTTAAAATTTAATTTTGCATTTTTCAGACGTGTTTATGCTTGGATATATTCATAATTTCTTCATACCTTAAGTGTGTGTTAAATTATAAGCATTGCCGTACTGATCAGGGTTACATCCTTCTATGTCCATTGAAGCCAGTAACTGCACAGTAAAATCACTTAATGTGATAGTTGTAAGTGACTGAAGTATTTGTTCTGAATACAGGGCTCCAATCCAAGTAGTTCATCTTTAATGTAGATGGAAAATAAAGTTTGTTTAAGCAGACTTTGAGTAAAACCTTGCATATCATATCACCCTTATCCACTACTTTTATGTGTCTCAAAATATTCTTGAAGGGCATAATGTTACTGCTTTGATTCTGAGGAGATTAAACAGGATACAGATGTTTTAGATATAAATAAAAAAATTGGGGGGCAACCAAGCACTGCACATGTGTGAACATTTTATTAGGAGGAGATGTGAATTGAATGTAGGATTGGCCAGGGGCACTGGATAACTATCTCATTTTTATTCTGCCCTTTCTGCAAGGAGCTCAGAGTATTTATTTATTTAATTTCTACCTCACACCCTCTCGCCACAGGGGTCTCAGGGTGGCTTACAACATTTAAACTACAATAAATATAAATATAATATAAATAAATACAAGTATAAAACGATAAAATCAATTAAAGCATCAGCTTGAAAAGCCATTCTGAAAGGATTAAAACAACTGTCGGCTCCCCAGTTCATAATGCTATCCAAAGACCACCCTAAATGCTGTCCATAATGCTATCCAGAGACCACCCTAGACAATTCAGCCTTGCATGCCCTATGGAATGCTGAAAGATCCCATAGGGCGCAACCTTCTCTGGGGAGCCGGTTCCAGAGAAAGGGGGCAGCCACTGAAAAGGCCCTTGCCCTGGTGGTAGACAGGCAGGCAATTTGCGGGCCAGGCACCTGTAAAAACCTCCATGGTGATGACATATATGATCTTGTCCTTCAGTTTATCCTCTCAACACCCCTGTGAGGGTAACTTCACAGATAAATGAAGGATTGATCCTAGGTCTCCCTAGTCCCAGCTACCACTTTTGTTACAATACCACACTGTCTCTTAGTAATAGTCTTACTTTGCTTGTATATGTTTGCATGCTGTTTCACAAAACCACATGCTTACTTAGTCTTCAAGAGTAAAACATTAACAAATATTTTTTTAAAATGCACAGTGGCCTTGTTACTGAATATATGGCTGTTGAGCTCTGGTTTTGAGCCAAAAGCTAATGTCTAATTTAATGAGATTCACTACTGAATAAGCTGACCAAAGCCTGAAACTTGTGTGTGTCCCTGAAATCAAAGCATAACCTCTTTTGAATTTAGTACTGTCTTTAATTAAAATATGCCAGTTTGTATTTCCAGCTATCAAAAAGAAACCAGTATTCTTATAATAGGTTTTGTTTTTGAAAGAAATATTGGGAATAAAGACTTGGGCTTTGTTTGAACTTGGGAAAGCAGCCAAAATCCATATTAAAATCGCTGCTTAATTTGTATTTGTCAAGAATGCCTTCCACTGAGAAAGCAGCCTTTATAATTAAAAAGGAAGTATGTAAAGGTTCTATAATGTAATAGATATTTTGAAATGCCCTTGTGAAATGTTGGGAGAAACGTTGCAAATGTGGCGGTATGATAATGTCATAACAGCTTCAGACATCAAGAATCATGGGGGATCAGGAAGTGCAAGTGAGTCCTGTTACAAAGATGCATGCAAACATTAAAACTGCATGTACTCCAGACCCATCATGCAGTGAGATGTACAAATGTTGTTGTTGAGGGAATTCTATACATTCTAGTTTGAAAGAGTGAATAGATGCATGAAGTTGGGAAATCATGTCTCTTTCCTACAAGTCAGGATAATACAGGTCAGCGTGTCCACAAAGAGGATGGCTATTCTGTCCAGGTAGGGAATCTAGAAATTCCACCTGGTTAACACAACATGTAATATAAATGGGGCTGGCTAGCGTTAAACAGTTTGCAAGGGCATGTGTAGAATCCTGAGTGTTCCATCCTGACAGTGATGAGCTGTGCAACTGCACAGAGCTTCAGTTTTAGTAGCTTCTAGAGCTGGCATATAGGCCCAAATCTGCTACCCTCAGAGGTGCAGAATGCACTGCCCCCTCTGTTCCTTCCAAAATGTAAGCAAGATAAGGACACCTGTTGCAGGGAAAGTGAGCTAGTTGTGTGAAAATTAGAGATGGCCACTCAAAGGAACAACAGTTATAGGTAAGCAGCCTGCAGAGTGATCATTTGTAACTCAGGGGTTCAAAGGGAGCTTTTCCATTGCATTAGTAGCTATCTCATGCCACAAACTCTGCTTGTATAACTGGTCAGTTTTCAACCTTCAGAACAACCAACTCTGGACACCAGGAGATCTCTGCGAAGAACTGGGACAAGGATGACTATGATTAACTGCATGAAAATTGAAAAGCCAGCATATTTAACAGGGATTTGCCAAGGATGTGGCACTCCATGCTGTCCTTCAGCTGACCTCCCTCGAGATTGTTTGGGAGGTAGTTGGTCTAAAAGCTAGGACTATGGAGACCACCTTATGTTAATCATTGTTCGTCAAAGATGGTGTAGCTAACAAACATCCATGTTAGCTTCAGTGCTTCCAGTGAACAAAAAGTTTTGGCATTCTCACTCTGTTTTGGCATCCTTGCATTCAATATTTTCAGCAGAGAAAATATCTTCTAAATCTTCTAGTAGATCATCATTTTCTATGTTGTGGATTTAATGTCCTTCTGTAAGCTCTCATACCAGTACTGTTTGAACCCATCCACAACATTCTACTGGAAAAGTTAACATTTAAAGTATTTTTCAGGTTTCCTGTTACATTCACAAGGAGCATCTCAGAATTGGGCCCCTTTCCATACAAACCAGGATTATGCACTTTACAAGAAGGGGGACCCGTGATACTCGCAGGGGGGAGGAGAAGCTCCACGGGAGAAGGAGCAGCCACAAGTGAGCCTTCTCCCCTGTCCCCCCCGTCCTTGGCACCCATGGCGAGGCCTGCACCCCTCCAAGCTTCCCCCCTCCCCTAGCGGCAGCGAGGCCTTGCTGGCCCGCCAAACTTCCTCCCTCCCCCCCGGCGGCAGTGGTAGCGAGGCTTCACTGGCCCGCCAAGCTTTCTCCCTCCCTCCTCCCCTGGTGGCGGCGAGGCCTCGCCGGCCTGCCAAACTTTCTACCTCCCCCCTCAGCAGCGGCGGCGAGGCCTCGCTGGCTCCCCCCACTTTCTCCCGCCTGCGGCAAGGACTCACCAGCCTGGCACACCTTTTCCCCCCGTCCCCGGCGGTGGCGAGGCCTTGCCGGCCCGCCA